TGACGCCTACAGATTGGACAGAGTTGGCCAGGGCCTGCTTGACTAAGGGACAATTTCTAGATTTTAAGTCTCTGGTTGCCGATAGAGCCCATACCCAGGCTAGAGTTAATGCTCAAAATGGTTATCATGATTGGACAGCTGATATGCTTCTGGGACAAGGACAGTTCGCTGGCAACCAGGTTGGACTTCCTATGGAGGTCTATCAACAGATAAGTGATATTCATTACAGGGCCTGGAAGGCGCTCCCCAATAAGGGGGAGGTGGCTGGAAATTTGACAAAAATTATCCAAGGGCCTGTGGAGCCGTTTGCAGATTTTGTGGGTAGGATGATGGAGGTTGCAGATATCATGTCCCCGCTGACACCCTACGGAGGAAATTTGCCCTGACCAGGAATGATGCTAGAAGTATTGTAAAAGCTTGTTCTTCTTGTGTCACCTTTCTCCATCCTCCTCATGTTGGCATCAACCCCCGGGGTCTGCGACCAAATGCCTTATGGCAAATGGATATTACTCATGTTCCGGAGTTTGGCCGCATCACGTACCTTCATGTCTCAGTGGACACCTACTCTGGTGTCATTTTTGCCACCCCTTGGCGGGGGAAAAATCTATTCATGTGAAGACCCATTGCTTGGAGGCCTGGGCGGCATGGGGAAAACCTGTCCATTTAAAGACAGACAATGGCCCTGCCTACTCTTCCAAGGGTTTTCGTGCCTTTTGTGCACAACTCCAGGTCGAGCACACTTTTGGTCTGCCCTACAACCCCCAAGGCCAGGGGATAGTGGAAAGAGCCAATCGCAGCCTCAAGGAGCTCTTACAAAAACAAAGAGGGGGAATGGCTGAGACTGCGTCCCCCAGGAATAGGATTGCTATGGACCTTTTTACTCTTAATTTTTTGATAATGGATGACAAAGGTCGTACGGCAGCCGACCGACATGCCCACACCTCCCCGGAAGGGGCAGGGAAAGTGATGTGGAAGAATGTGTTGGATAATAAATGGTATGGCCCGGACCCCGTTATCTGGAGGTCCAGGGGAGCTATTTGTGTTTTTCCCCAGGATCGAGAAGTGCCTCATTGTGTCTCGAGTCACCTGACCAGAACTGTTGAAGTCCATCATGAAAATGACTCCGCCACTCTTTAGGATGCTGATACTGCTGATCCTGTCGAAGATGATGCCACTGTTGTTCCTGATGACGATGGCGGTGACAATCCGGATTCAGGCGGAGCAGAGATGGGGAATACTGTCTGCCTTCCCTAAGCCGATTCCTGTTTGGCCAACACCATGATCTTGCTCCTCCTCTTCTTCCTGTGCTTCTACCGCTGGTCCATTATGTGCCTCCTGGAAAAGAAGTTTCTTCATCTTTCAATCTTGAGGGATTTTCTGGAGGCAAGAATCTATGGTCTCCCTCCATCATGTCAAGCTCACTCTTGTCATCCGAGGTATCTGGAAGACTGTTAACACTGCTGCTTTAGCTGCAGACACTGATAGACATACTGGGAATAGACTGATTACTTCCAACACTATTCACTGTTCCTGTTCGCCACAATACCTCGGTTTCCCCCCGTTTTTTGAAGCAGCTTCTTGTGACCCTGGCTCGACTGCTGAGTCCTTCACTGGGACGTTGCTGCTGTGTTCTGCTCGGTGCCCATTTCAATTTCGCAAGCCCCAGCTGAACCTGTTTGACACTTAGCATGTAGTGTTTCACCATCTGACACTTTTGAACTTTGCTCAAAGGATAACACACTGGTGGATTCCTTTGGAGCAACAAGCTCGGTTTGGCTGCAGGCTTCCTCAGTCCCTCTTTTCCGAGATGACCTATTGGTGGTGGAATAAAATAAAAAAGAAGATACAAAAAAAAAGGAAGCCCCCCCCCTTTTGTTTGGGGATGTATAATCTGCCTATGGCTAAAATGCTGCCCCCGAGCTCAGACATCTCGAGATAAGGTTGCGGTTCTACGAGCGTTAGCCTCTTTGGAGAATGGTGATTCACCCCAAGTATGGTTATCTGTCCTAAAAGGCCAGTAGGTTTGTTCCTTGCATAGCCTTTGCACTCTCAGGGAGAAATTCTCCATTGCACTGAGGAAGGTATGAATTTTTACTCTGAGTACTGCCTTTGCACCGCCCAGGAGTTTATTCCATTGCACGGGAGAAGGAGTACCAGGAGTTTTAGGCCTCCTTTGATCGGTCCTTGCATCATGAGGTGAGGACCTGAACTGGAGTAAGACCTTCTCACTGGCCTACAGAGAAAAACAGAAAGGGGGAACTGCTGGGAGCCGATTTGAGTGGCTGCCATTACAAGATGGCATTTGGCCCCGGCCTCGCTTGATACCATAATAAAGGTTGCAGTTCTTCCACCAGAAAACAGGATGAGTTGTTGTGATCTAGCTGCCCACACTTCCCCTGACTGGCAGGGGAACTTCCTTGTGGTCTGTAATTGACAGGGATGTTCCCCTGCTTTCTTTCCAGAAGGTGGGTCTCCAGAAAAGCAGTTAAAGTATCAAAGTATCAAAGGTTGCTAGGCAGACTCCCTATATAAGCAGCTGCAGCTCAGAGCTCGGGGCCCCTTGCTTTCTGCTCTCCCTATAACCAAGAGGCTCCAATAAAGTGTGATTTGAGAAGAATCCTCGTCTGGTGGCTGTTCTTTCCTGCTGGTCAGGGAGTTCGCCACAGTCCACCACTGGTGAGAATATAATATTTTCCCTAATTTCCAAATACTCACTGGATTGGTAAAAACCTAGACCACCACCGACAGAACTGGCCATGGATTCAGGGGACCATCTTGGAACCATGTGGAGAACTCTACCATTGGCATCTAGGAAGGCTGAGGAGAAACACATCACAGGAGACAGAGGAGGACCAAGGAAAGCCCTGGCGTAGGGTGGGCATGGATGCATGTGTTTGTAACCTCAGCACTAGAGGTGGAGATGGTGGATCCCAAGCGCTTGCTCTGGAAAGTCTTTCTAGAAATGGAGGATGTTTGGTTCAGTGAGACATCCTGTTTGAAGGTGATAAGAAGGTGAGCAAGAGAGGAAGACACCTCATGTCCTCCTGCTCTGGTCTCCACATGTGACGCACGGTGGGGACACACACACAGCATGCATACACACACACACACACACACACACACACAGAGAGAGAGAGGCATGCACCACATACACAGACACTCTTGCCCTCTCGAATGCACACACACACAGAGAGAGAGAGAGAAAGAGAAAGAGAGAGAGAGAGAGAGAGAGAGAGAGAGAGAGAGAGAGAGAGAGAACGCATGTACACACAGTACTGATAGACTTTTCTTTCCTGTGTGACTATGGACAGAAAGGGCTTCTCACATACTATATTTATAAATATGCTTGAAATGGACAACTGACTGTGTGAGCGTGCTTGGGCCCTCCAAGATATCTTCCTTAATGTTTACTTTGGGACTGAGGAGGGTGTCATCACCAAGAAGAAACTAGATTGCCTCATTGTAGGAGGAGGAAAGTCACTGGTATGAACGACTTGGTAACTGGGATGTAGGTGCCAAAATGGAGGTAGCCTCTCCAAACTGCCTATCATTTGCCACTGGTGCACCTCCTGATCCTATGCTCTCCAGAAACAAGACCCTTTGGCCTGGATGAGAGCTCTTTGTTTTGTTTTGGAAGATTAAAAAGGAGAAGAGCTGGGCAGTGGTGGCACACGCCTTTAATCCCAGCACTCGGGGAGGCAGATGCAGGCAGATCTCTGAGTTTGAGGTCAGCCTGGTCTAGAGAGCGAGTTTCAGGACAGCCAAGGCTACACAAGAAACCCTGTCTTGAAAGAGAAAGAAAGAGAGTGGAAGGGAGGGAGGAAGAGAGGGAGGGAGAAGAGAGAGAGAGAGAGAGAGAGAGAGAGAGAGAGAGAGAGAGAAAGGAGAGGAAGGTCTAGGCATGATGGCACATGCCTTTAGTACCAGCAGCGAATGCTCTTGCTCAGTATGGGATCTTAGCATCCCAGCACTGGGAATGGCACCACCCCAGTTAAGAAAATGTCCCCCACAGGCATGCCCGGAGACCCCTAGCTGATTCTCGATCTCACTATTTTGACAGCTGAGATTACCCATCGCATTGTATATTCAGCCTCAACTCCCTACAAGCTGAGCTGGGCCCTAGGTAGAAGGACTCAGTCTGTCCAGAGACCAGTCTTGGATCAATGGAGGAGATGCGAGATCAAGTTGCAAAGCCGGATCATAGACAGCACGACAAAACTTAGAACAAATAAAACCACCGAAAATGCTGGAAATAACACACACCTACTCATAATTACATAAGATAGTAGTGACCCATCCCCCAAAATGTAGAAGTAAAGTGATGGTTTTGTCTCTGACGCTGACCAAGAGAGGAGGAACGGGGTACATTGTTGTAAAGTAAGGCACATTCTGTTGGTAAATCGTCACGTGCTGTTGGAGCTTACTGAGAAGCTGGCTCTGGAAGTGGGGTTGCCCCCATATCCCACATTTCATAATCAAGTATATTTGTCTCAAGGTGTCCTTCTAGGTCCTTAGTCTGGGGATGGGTTGCCTCCGAACTCTGCGATGGGGGAGAACAGCAAAACAGCCCTAGAGTAAAAACACTATCCTTGAGAACAGCCGGAAGGTAAGACACTTCCAGCAGAGGTACCACTATTTATCCCATGATCTTAAAATGCTCACAGTGGGAAGGAGAAGCTGGAAGTTCAGTCTCGGGAGGAGTGGCCACAGGGAGAAAGCTCCAACAGGAACTCCAGCTCAACTTCCCCAGGCGTTTTCTGGTGGATGCTGTGAGCCAACCTGATGCTCGGTCGTCAGCAGTTGCCATAGATATGTCCTTCCTCATCCCAAACTCAGGACCATGCTGTCATTATCAGCTCCTATCGGAAGAGGCAAATCTCTGCACTTACCATGCCTATGCCCTCATTTCTTGATACAAATAACATGGTACCCGGGTCACAGCCCATTGATTTAAATGGATGTGTATAATGATGGCTTTGATTCGATGGGCCTGGTGGCCGGGCCTTCTGCAGGCATGGGTGGAGAAACTACTAGCATAAGGAGAAGGGACAGCTAATGGGTTGAGCATGTACTGCAGATACAGCAAAATAGTTACAAGACAGCAGCCGCCTGCTCTAATGAGGTACAGACCGTCCTCTTGTAAGGATCCTCCTGGAGGACGTGGCTGCAGGTTGGGAAGCCGTTCATAGTAATGGATATACATAATGATACGGAAACATTCATGAAAGGCCCAATATGTTCGGTGCAAGCATTTGTCCCCACAAAAATGACAAGCAATACCTTTTAGAAAGACACTGGAGGGTTGGAGGTGTATCTCGGTGATCAGGCAGCACACTCAAGGACCCGGGTTCAATTCTTAGTACTACAAAGAAAAAGAAGAAGACATTTAAGATCTCCAAGAAACTGCTCACTGCAGGTGCCCACACACCAAAAAACAGCGCTTCTTCGATTTCTGGGAAGCTTCTTTGTTTGTTGTAAATTCTGGACTGGCTTGTGGCTGTCCGATGATTGTTTTACTGCGTGAAGACACTAAGTGATGTACCAGGCGTTGTGGCTGAAGACTTTAGTCTTAGCACAGAAGATCTTTGTGAGTTTGAAGACATCCTTGTCTACATAACAAATTCTGTGCCAGCCAGGACTACGTAAGACTTTGACTCAAAAAGTAAAATAAAATAGACAAAACCAAAGAAACAAACAAAACCCCTCAAACTCCACCCCAAACACTAAGAAACAAATACACAAAAGAACTACCATCTCACACCACTATCACGGGACACAGAGGCAGGCAGATCTCTGAGTGCAAGGTCAGTCTGGTCTACAGAGTGAGTTCCAGGACAGCCAGGGCTACACAGAGAAACCTTATCTTGGAAAACCAAAAGAACAAAAATTAATCTAACAAACAAAACCTACCATCATCTTTCTCGTAAAAAAAAAAAAAAGAGTAGCATCAGGGACAGGAGGGTGCCTAAAGTATTAGAATAAATGTCATTCCTTTAGATTAAATACATTCACCAAGATGACAGACTTGTGACAACTCAGAATTTTTCCAGTCCTCTACAATTTCAGGAAGGGTTGTCGAGCCTGGCCGAATGACCCTGCTCTTAGGAGCGGCTGTACAAAGGTTGTTCACTCGGGGCCGGCATCACTACCTCAGAACCAATCAGAGGCACCGACACCCTGACTCCACCCCAGCAGGATGAAGCTAAGGTCCTGGGCACAGAGCGAGGCTTTAAAACCCTATAGGTAATCCTGGCATGCCTAAGCTTGAGGGTGATTGCTGCAACCCCCTTCTTCTCGTGGATCTCACGGGCCTCCCCTGGAAAACCTTCAGGGACGGCTTTCTACCACCTCCCAAAGAAATCTGTTTAACGTGGGTTATATCCAGTGACTGAAAGCTTCTACAGACTCCCCTGTATGAGTTCTGTTGTCCTGAGCGGCACTGAATGGGTCTTTTCTGTCTCCCCTACCTGACAATACTGGGTGTATTTGATAAGTCGTATGGCTCTTCACAGCAGGTAAGCGCAGCCGACACAAACCGCTCCTTAGCTGACTCAATCTGTAGTCATCTCCTCAGTCTGCCCTGGCTGCCCTCTTATTAATATTTATATTATTGTCAGTAGTAGTTATAGATATTAGTATTATTAACTACTATTTATTGACTTAGTATGGAGATGCTCTATAGGCTCTTGAATTCTTTGTACCAGGCCTGGAAGATGGATCTGTAAGCTCTAAGTTGTAGATACAAAATAAGCTCACACCCAACATCCCTTAGCCTGTGAGTGAGCCTGGATTCTACATTCATTACTGTGGCACCTCAGGGCCTTCTGCTATTTCCATGATAGCAGACTATCCTGAAATTTCTACCAAAAAAATCCCTAATCTAGGCAAGGCTGAGCCAGGAAGCGAGTTGCAGGATTGAGTATATAGCGTAACAGGAACAGCATGGGCTCTGGAGTGAATAAATCCAAGTTGAGTAGTGCCAACGCTATTACTAGCAATATGGGCGACTTTGACTGGGTTGCCAAGCTCTCTAGGCCTCCGTTTCCTCTTCAGTGAAGTGGGGATTTTAATAGCACCCCTCTAAAATTGATATGAGAACAAAATAAATTAGTGCTTATGAAGTACTTTGTTAACTAGTTTTAAGTCACTTGACCCAAGAAAGAATCACTGGGGAAGAGAAGATTCAATTGAGAACATGCTGCCATCGGATTGACCTGTACACTTGTGTGGGGGGCATTTTCCTGATTGGTGATTGATGTGGCCAGGTGGTCCTGGATACTGTTCTAAGAAGGCATCCTGAGAAAGCACCTCTCCGCAGCCTCCACTTCAGTTCCTGTCTCTAGGCTCCTGCCTTGAGTTCTTGCCCTGCCTTCCCTCCACAGGTACTGTGATGTGGAACCATAAGCTGAAACAAACCCTCAAGTACAGAACAAGCACTCGACATAAGACCTGTTAGTGCTCCTGCCTGTATGTTCCCAGCAGTTATGTAACGTTTGCATAGATGGGCAGGTACAGACACATGCACATTACAGCAATCTAAACACTCTCCTTTGCCCTCAATGGACACCCACCTGTGTCTGACTGTGGGACTCTTCAGCACACTGACAGCCAACTCCCTGACCCCGTGGCTCTCTTGGCAAGCCATCCTCCATGTGTGCAGGCTCATCTTCCTAAAACCCACCGCTAACGCGCCATCCTCAATGAAGTCCCGAGTTTCTTTTCTTGACTTCCTAAGGTCGTTATACCACGCAGCCCAGTTCTCTGCCTACTTTGTTCCCACTGCTGTGAGATGTGTCCTGTGGTGTCAGGTGGACACCTGCCTTCATGCACAGCTCAACTGTGCTCTTTTTCTCGCAAAAGCCACTCCTCCCCACCTCCTCCCATTCTTTAGCCCCAAGGACTTTCTATACATTTCCCCCCCCCCACACACCTTGAGTAAGAAAAACATTATGTTGTAAAAGAGGGAGGAGTTGCCGGTAGGATCTAGGTAAGGCGGGCACTGCTGTGGCCTCGGGACAGGGCAGGTGATTGTGCAACAGGGTGGAAAATAGAGCAACCCAAAACTCTTGTTTCACGCACGGGCCCAGACCTGCCCAGGCTATGTTTTAAATATAATTGCTGAACGTGTAGAGTCGGTAGCGGTAACAGATCTCTGTGGAGTGTTTGCTGAGTACTGGGCCCATTGTTAAGTGCTTTATAAACACTAATTCATTTTGTGTTCATAGCAGCCTGATGAGAGGGTGACTGCTATTATCCCCATTGTACAGAGGAGGAAATTGAGACCTAGAGAAAGTGGCGACACACTCCCGGCCACATCATTAGTCATCGTTCAGAAGATTCAATCCAGATTTGCTTGTCTGAGGCTCATGTTCGTGCCCATTAGTTTTCCTGCCACTTCCAAGGAGATGTGGCCAACGGATCCTCTTTAATTCACTTGATCTTTAGTTCTTGGCTTATCATGAAGTTATGAAAAGAGCTTAGATTTCACCATTAGAAAGTTGTAGGCTCAAGTTCCAAGTCTCCCTCTTATCAGCGTATCATGCCCACAAGACCGAATGTCCTCATCAGCAAGCTGGGATAGTAAATCTCCTTGTCATAGTATCTGTGGAGACAAGATGAGGCCAAGGAATCCAAGGTCCTTGCTTGGAGCCTTGTTCCCAGCTTGTTCTCTGCTTTCTGTTCCCCCTTCCCTTCTCCCATGTGACACGGTTTGCCAAGATCAATGACTTTTAACATAGTCACCGTTGTGCCTCACAGTGCTTTGAGCAATATTTATAGATGTACAGAGGCACATGGGACGGGACTGTCGCTTCCTGGCTAAGGGGTCTCTGCTTAGTCTTTTCCCATATACCTTTTCTTCAGTTATGATGTCAAAACTAAATCTCTCTTCCACCTGTGCCTTTCTTTCCATCCTTTCAACAACACTTGCTGCTCTCTCTGTGTGTTCGGTGGGCTACCAGGAGCTGGGGCTGTCAGGGTGTTTGAATTTTGGCTCACAGTAAAGAAACGCAGCCTGGCCCTGGTCTTGTAGCCAGGGCTATGCTGCCAACGTTGGGTGTAGGCAATTTGGCACACCTGGAGATTATTAGATAGTAATAGTTAATAAAAGTCTTTTCCCACACTGCTTCCCACAACTCTCTCCTCATCTTAGCACTGTGGCCATGGAGTGAGGACTGGTGAGACTCCACAGTCGTGTTTGGGGTGATAGTGGGACTATAATTGGCCCCCATGAGCGCATAGGGAGTGGCTCTGTTAGGAGGTGTGGCTTTGTTGGGATGGGTATGGCCTTGCCAGAGGAAGGGTGTCACTGTGGGGGTGGGCTTTAAGGTTTCCCGTGCTCAGGATGCCGTGGAATGTCTCAATCAATTTCCTGCTCCTTTCTGATTGAGATGTAGCCAGCACCACATCTGCCTGCGTGCTGCATGAGGATAATGGACTGAACCTCTGAAACTGTAAGCAAGTCACCCCAATTAAATGTTTTCTTTATAAGAGTTGCCATGGTCACGGTGTCTCTTCACAGCAATAAAAACCCTAACTAAGATAGCTGGGTACAAGCTTGTCTCATTTTGCTTTGTCTGATTACTTTTTGTTGTATTGGTCTTTTCGTTTATGTTTTTGTTGGGTTGCTTTTTGTGTGTTTCTTGGTTTTCGTTTTTTTTTTTTTTTTTTTTTTTTAAAGAGAGTAAGGTCAAGGAATTGGGTGGGAAGGGAGGTAGAGAGGATCTTGAAGGAATCAGGGGAGGGAAAAAACATGATCAAAATACACTATATAAATATTTTTTTTTGATATTTCGAGACAGGGTTTCTCCGTAACTTTTGGTTCCTGTCCTGGAACTAGCTCTTGTAGACCAGACTGGCCTTGAACTCACAGAGATTCGCCTGCCTCTGCCTCCCGAGTGCTGGGATTAAAGGCGTGCACCACCACTGCCCCGCATAAATAAATTTTTTAAATAAAAAAAGTAAAAAAACTTTTTTCACTTTTTTTAGATGATCAAATTTTATTTGTGTGGGTGTTTGCCTGCGTGCTTGTTTGTGCATCGTATGCAGACAGTGCCTTCAGAGGACAGAAGAGGGCGTCAGAGTCTTTGGAACTGCAGTTCCAGCTAGTTGGAAGCCACCAAAAGGGTGGTAGGAACCGAACCTTGTCCTCTGTCAGAGGCACAAGTGTCCTTAACTGCTGAGCCGTCTCTCCAGACCTAAAAAAAAAAAAAAAAAAAAAAAAAAATCCAACCCTTTTATTGCTAAAGAATTTTTTGTGTCACGAATTCCCCCATGCAAAGAGTATGATTCAGTAACGGCCAGGCAGCTGTCACCCTCTCTGTCCTAGGGTACATCCAGGCTCACAACAAGCTGACTTGCTTATCTTCGTCCGGAAGGCTGAGCTAGTCAGTTCCTTCCCTAAAGCTCAGCCGAGTCCGCCTCACCCGCTCAGTGACGGTGCTGAGCTCGTGGTTAGGAAGACAGACTTGAGGAATGCCTTGTGGACAGGCATCTTAATTAGACCACTGAAGTTCACTTGATGAATGGCTCGACACGAGAGTGCAGCCCCTGGGGAGACTCTTTAAAGGAAACCGGAGACCGGAGCTCTCTGCTGTCTGGGTGTGGCTCCTACTGCAAGATGGGGCTGGCCGGCAGTTCCTGCTTCTGCTGGCCTTCCTTTTCTCCGTCACCCTGTCTACGGAGAGCCCCTGCTGCAGCAGTACCTATCCCACCTGCCCTGTCCCCGCGTCCTGCCTCTCTAGAGGGGCTCTGAGGGGACCTTGCTCGTGCCTTTGGCCCCCATTTCTCCAGTCCTTTACCCCTTGCTTTCTTCCTTTGGCCCCAAGGGCTCTCTCTCAACTGCCTGTTCTACATCACCTGTGACTTTAGAGAGACCACACCTAATGGCTTTCGTAGTCTTCCAACCTGGTGGCTGAGCCCCCCTCTCTCTCTTCCCTGAATCCCACCCTCTCTGTGCTGTGTCCTGGGGCCTCCTTCACTGTCTGACTCTTGAGTCTCTCACCTTGCTCTGCTTCTGCCCCTATGGCTAGCTGTAGTGCTGCAGGCCCCCTCCTTGGCCCATTGGTCTCTG